AGGCACTCCTTGGAAACTCTATGGGGCAGTTCTACCCTGTCCTATAGGGTCGCTATGAGTCAGAATTGACGCAATGGCAACGGGTTAGGGTTTTTAGGTTAATCTTGTAGATTGAGTCCTGCCTCATTAACATAACTGCCTCTAATCCTACCTCATTAACATCACAGAGGTAGGGTTTACAACACATAGGAAAATCACATCAGATGACAAAATGGTGGACAATCACACGACACTGGGAATCATGGCCTAGCCAAGTTGACAGATATTTTGGGGAGACAAAATTCAATCCATGACAAGACTGTTGGTAGAATTATGGACGTCAGAGGTAATGCTGGTAAGGCTCAGAAGAGGAGAGCTCTAGAGAAAGTCTCTGTCGTCTTAGAGAATACATATGGCGCCAGGAACAGAATGTTTTTAGAAATGTGGATGTTAAATGGGCTTCTGGTGAGGCTTTAAAAGAAAATGATGAAACATATGATTGTGCAGTGGAGGAAGGGTGATACTTTTTATGCAGTGGCAAAAAACTTGTCCGAATTATGTTCAAATGTTTGGTGGAAGGTAGAACTTGTAAGTGATGAACTTGGATACCCGGTTGATGAGGTTTCTAAGCAAGATCTTAAAGGGGACTCATGGTTTCTCCTCGCCACTTATAATAAAATGTGAGAGCAAAGAGATGGACTTAAAAATGAGTTGTGCGAAATGAAAACAGAACTTAAAGATTTGGGGAATTCTGTTGTACAAACTAAGGTCACCTGTCCTAGAATGTTCACTGAGAACATGGCTACGCAATCTTTTGTTAAAAAGATTAAACCTGTGACTGATGGATCTAACCAACTACCACAGCAGAAAACCCATCACCTTAGACTGAAGGGGACAGAGAAAGAGCAAAAGGAAAGAACACTGTCTGCCTCTTGGAATACTCTACAGACAGGAAACAGGCCAAAGGAGCTACGTCTGTTGTCCTCCATGAAAAGAAAAGGACCATCCCTGGAGCAGCTTGGAGATCAGCGAAACTGTTGGACGGAGCACGGGAAGCAGGTCCTTATCAGTTTCAAAGGGTGGGCCTACAGGTTTCAAAGAGTGGAATCT